GAATCCCACTTGGTCATGGTGCACGATCTATTTGATATGTTTTTCTATCCAATTTGCCAAAATTTTATTGAGGATTTTTTCATCTAAATTCATTAGGGATATTGGTCTGTAGTTTTCTTTCTTTGARGTGTCTTTATCTGGTTTGGGAATCAGGGTACTATCACTGTTTTCTAATGATATGATTCCATATCTAGAAGTTCCAAAAAATCCCGCCAGAAAACTTCTAAAACTAATACATAAATTCAGCAAAGTATCACGATATAAAATCAACATCCATAAACAAAATGCATTCTTATATATCAGTGGTGAATCCACTGAAAGAACAAGTAGCAAAACTATCCCATTTATAATAGCCTCAGAAAAGTAAAATATTTGGGGATCAATCTAACAGAAGAGGTGAAAAACTTCTACAATGAAAACTACAGAACCCTAAAAACAGAAATTGTGGAATACTTGAGAAGATAAAAAGATCTCCCATGCTCCTGGATAGGCAGAATTAATATTGTCAAAATGGCCATAGTACCAAAAGTTTTATACAGACTTAATGCAATTCCTATTAAAATCCCAATAGCACTCTTCATAGAAGTAGGAAAAGCAATCACAAAATTTATTTGGAAAAATAAGAGACTCAGAAGAGCTAAAGCAATTCTTAGCAATAAAAATGACACAGTACCAGACCTTAAACTATACTGCAGAGATATAGTAACAAAACAGCATGTTATTGGCACCAAAATAGAATTGTAGACCAATGGTACAGAATAGAAGACACAAAGACAAACCAACATAAATACAATTTTGTCATACTAGACAAAGGTGCCAAAAACATTTACCTGAGAAAAGATAGTCTCTTCAACAAATGCTGCTGGAAAAACATGAAATCCATATGGTGCAAAATGATAAAAATTCTATTGCTCACCCTGCACGAAAATCAACTCAAACTGAATCCAAGACTTAGGCACTAGAAAAAAGACCCTGCACTTAATAGAATAAAAAGTAGTCCCAAATCTTCATGATGTCAGCTTAGGATTGACTTCCTTAACAACACTCCTAAAGCAGAAGAAGTAAAGTCAAGAATCAATAAATTTGGATTTAAATGAAAAAAACTGCTTCTCAATGAATGAAACAACAAACAATGTGAGGATAGAGCCTACAGATTAGGAGAAAATTTTTACCACATACACCTTTGATAAAGCATTAATCTCAAGGATATACAAAGAACTCAAAAACCTTAACAAGAAAAAATCAAATAACCCAATCGATAAATGGGCTAAAGAACTGAACAGATACTTCACAGAAGAAGAAACACAATTGATCAACAAATATATGACAACACCTCTAGCTGTTTATATTTTATATCCTTCAGATAAGTATGGTTGATCATGCCACATTCATGTGATAGGTAGGAACAAAACAAAGAAGATACCAGATTATTTAAATAACTGCTTTTCTTTGGATACATAAGTTAAACATAAAATTAATGTAATCTTCAGGTAAGTGTGATGTTTATAGAAAAAATAAAAGATGTTTATTCTAGGTGAAATAAGCTAGGCACAGAAAGATAAACACCATATAAACTCAATTATATGTGCAATATATAGGAGGAGGACTCACAGAGAGAGTAAAATGATTCCACAGCAGGGGTGAGGTGAGGTAGGAATAAGAACAAAAGTGCGATGCTCATAAAAGGGGACAGGTTTTCTGTCATACAGGAGGAATGATTTCCACTGGTCTAAGGCATAGTGTGATGATTCTAGTTAATGCTAATGTATTATGTTTTTCAAAATCAAATAAGAATGTATCTTAAATATTCTCTTCAGATAAAGTGATTTTAAAATTTCAGAAGAGTGCATCACATGAAAATGGAAAGTGGACAAATGATTTTTTTCACAGCTAGGAAGAGTGAATGAAGATGTTGAGAGAGAGAGAAATTGGGAAAGACTGCTAATGATCATGGAGTTTCCTTTTTCTGTGATGAAAATGCTTTAAAATTAATTGTGGTGATGGTTGCACAACTCTGAACATGGTCAAGCACATTGTAGCATATATACTTGGAATGGTTGAATAGTTGTTATGTGAGGTATAACTCAGTAATGTTGATTTACAAAATGAGATAATATACATTCTGAACTTTTTTCTCTGACATTTCATCAACTGCACTATCTATGTTTCTCTTACTGGAGTATCCTGATTGTACAACCACTGAAATGAAAAGTTGTGCTGAAGTTATGTACAATGAGTGAAAATGCATTCTGCTGTCATATATACCTAATGAAAATACATTAATTAATTAAAAAAACCCATTAAAAAGAAAAAATAAGACACTCCCAGTCAAAAGCTGGAAGTATTCGACAATACAGGTTTGCTCAAAAAATACTAAACAAGTTCCTTCAGACTTAAATAACACAAGAAAATAAGTGAAGTCATATGAAAAAAATTAAAAAAACAACACTAGTAGGACTAGGGATATAGCTCAGTGGTAGTGTTGATCTACAACACTGAGGCCCTGGGTTCAATATCTTGCACTACAGAATTAAAAATAAATTAACTAAATAAATTAAAAATAATGGTAAGTGTCTGTTCAGGTCCTTGGCCAATTTACTGATTGGATTAGTTGTGTTTTTTTTGGTTCTTAGCTTGTTGAGTTCTTTATATACCCTAGAGATTAGTGCTTTATCTGATGTGTGAGGATTAAAAATTTGCTTCCAGGATGTAGGCTTCCTATTCACCTCACAGAATGTTTCTTTTGCTGAGGAAAAAAAAAACTTTTTAGTTTGAATCCTTTGAATACATCCCATTTGTTGATTCTTGGTTTTAATTCTTGAGCTATAGGCTTCTTATTAAGGAAGTGGGGCCTAATCCCATGTGATGAAGATTAGGGCCTATTTTTTCTTCTATTATACACATAGTCTCTGGATTAATTCCTAGATCCTTGATCCATTTTGATTTAACTTTTGTGCATGTTAAGAGATAGKGATTCAATTTCATTTTGTTGCATATGGAATTCCAGTTTTCCCAGCACTATTTGTTGAAGATGCTATCTTTTCCCCAGTGCATGCTTCAGACACTTCTCAGAAGAGGMTATACAATCAATAAACAAATATATGAAAAATGCTCAACATCTGTAGCAATCAGAGAAATGCAAGTCAAAACTACTCTAAGATACCATCTCACTCCAGTAAGAATGGCAGCTACTATGAAGACAAACAACAACAAGTGTTGGTGAAGATGTGGGGAAAAAGGTACACTACTACATTGCTGGTGGGACTGAAAATTGGTGCAGCCAAATTTGAAAGCAGTATGGAGATTCCTTGGAAAACTGGGAATGGAACCACCATTTGACCTAGCTATACCTCTCCTCCATCTATACTAAAAGGACTTAAAAACAGCATAGTACGGGGACATAGCCACATCAATGTTTATAGCAGCACAATTCACAATAGCTAAACTGCAGAGTCAACCTAGATGTCCTTCAGTGGATGAATGGATAAAAAGGTGGCATTCATACACAATGGAATATTGCCCGTACTAAAGAAGAACAAAAAAATGGATGGTATTAGAGAAGATTATGCAAAGTGAATTTAGCCAATCCCCAAAAAACAAATGCCAATTTTTTTTTTTCTGATATAAGGGGGGAGACTCAAAGAAAGATCATGGGAGGAAGATTATTTCTAGATAGGAAAGAGGGGTGGGAGGGAAAGGGAGGGGGAAGGGGAATAGCAAGGATGGGGGAATGTAATGGTTATCATTAAACAAAATTTATGTAAGAACATTTGAAGTTGGTGTCAATATACCTTATATACAAACAGAGATATGAAAAATTGTGGTATATATGTGTATTAAGAATTGTAATGTATTAAAAAAGAGTACATGTATAATGGCATATTTTGTCATGAACACACTTTATATAAAGAGGTAAGAAAACTTATACTGTAAATGGGCAATAATGAGTGTAATACATTTCACTATTGTCATGTATGGAAAAATAAATAAAAAAATGGTAAAGTTTTCTACACAGATAAAATGAAACCTAGTATATTGAAATTTTAAAAAATGAGGTATTGCATTTGTTCATTAGCCTGAATTAATCATTCATCAATTTACATATGTGTAACAATACCATCATGTACCCCATAATATAAAATGTCAGTTTAAAAATATAAAATATTTTTTGGGCATGGTGTCACATGCCTGTAATCCCAGCAGCTTGGAGGCTGAGGCACAGGATCATGAGTTCAAAGCAAACCTCAGCAACATGATGAGGTCCTAAGCCACTTAGCAAGTTTCTGTCTCTAAATAAAATATAGAAAGTGCTTCAGATGAGGTTCTGTGGTTGAATTCCTGGAGTTCAGTAACTAGTACCAATAAAATAAAATTAAAATCAATTAAAAACAAAACAGAATTGTTTTCTAACATTAAAGAGATCTCCGAGGATAGGCACCAGCAGAGGACACTGTGGGGTGGCCCAGCCCTGGAGGTTCACAGAGATACAGTGATATCTCACCAGAGACACTGAAGATCTAGGAGCTGACAGAGATGATGGAGTTCAGCAGATCTTACTCTCCTGGGAAATTTAGAATACTCAATTCAAGTTTATGATTCTCAAGAAATCTAAGGCAGGAAATTTTCATTCCCAGAGCTGAACTCTTCAGCAGAGGGCTGCAGGAGTGTACAAAATCCAGGACAGGCCAGATATGGCTGAGGAGAGAGGCAGGTGCAGAAAGCAGATCTGCATTGAGAACTTTCTCTCTCTGAGACAAGGAGGGAGATAAAAGCAGTCTGGAGGAGCCAGGCCCAGTGCTGGAGTCTGAAGACGGTGTTCTCTGGGGCACCTCCACCATGGCCTGGACTCTGCTTCTGCTTACCCTCCTCATTCAGGGTAAAAGTGTGGTATTTACTGAGAAGGGCTCTTGGGGACATCTGGGTTGATGTTTTCCCTCCTCATGCTCAGGTTTAGCAGACCAAGCATTAATTCAACATAGAGTGTGTTTCCCTCTTTCCAGGTTTCTGGGCCCAGTCTGCTCTGAATCAGCCTCCCTCAGTCTCTGGAACTCCTGGACAGTCAGTCACCATCTCCTGTGCTGGAACCAACAGTGACATTGGGAAATATAATCATGTGTCCTGGTTCCAAATTCATCCAGGAACAACCCATAAACTCATGATTCACAGTGTTAGTAGTCGGCCCTCAGGGATCCCTGATCGTTTCTCTGGCTCCAAGTCTGCACCACAGCCTCTCTGACCATCTCTGGGCTGCAGCTGGAGGATGAGGCTGATTACTACTGCTGTTCATATGCAGGCAATTACAGTTACCACAGTGGACCACGTTGAAGGAGAAGTGAGACCAAAACCTGCGCAAAGCATAGAAGCTGTGTCTTGCTCTGAAGATGTTTCGTGAACTCGGTTCAGAGATTTATTTCTGCAAAAAGAAGTAGAAATTTAGCTTCTCTCAGCTCCCCTCTTGTCCCATAGTGAAATAACAAGCAAAATGTAACCCTTGTTTTTAAGTTCTTGGTACAGTGACAGCTTGCTCTGCTCTGGTGATGTGGTCTTTCTAATCCTTCATCTAAAGAAAATGAAGGTCAAATCTATGCCTATAATTGCAATTCCTCCAGTTCTCAGTGAAATCACAAGTCCCTCAGATCAATGTATGTGAGTCTTCTCCTGGTTAGGAGGGTGTTATGCAAATGGCTCCTTTTATCATAAATGAAAAAGAAGTTTGGAGGGTGAGAATCTCATTGTCAGGAATTCTCAATGTATATGAATTCCATGGTATGCAACCAAATTCCTAGAAGGAGCCCCAGTTACAATGAAAGGGATAATTTCATATACAGACATATGATCCTCAAATTAATGTGGAATAAAATCCTGACAACCCCTTGTAAATAAAAAATACCATTCAAAATGTATCTTAATACACCTAAGCTACTGAATGCCATTGCTTAGTAACCACATACACTATGGAATATAGGCTTTTTGCCCTCATGATTACAAAGCTTACTGGGGCTTCAACTTACCCAAACCTCAATCAAGGTCCAATACACATGAAACTAGCCTAGGAAAAGATCAAAATTGAAAACTGGAAGTATGATTTCTATCAGATGCAAATCGTCTTCTCACCATAATAAAATATAGAAATTACAAAGGTCAAGCCATTGTAAAGTGGCCACAATATTGAGAAAGGATATGAAAAAACATAATGTGAATTTTACACATACACACACAACACACACACACACACACACACACACTGCCTGTTTATTGTTTTTTGAGGACACTCATTGCCTACATAAGAGCTCACATGTTTATTCCACAGGTTATGATAAGTTTTCCTCTGCTTTGGGGAGGATTCTTTTCATTTTCCCTCCTATGCACTTCCTTGATTAGATCATATTGTGAAGCTCTCTGAGTGTTTTCTGTTTAGCATCTATCTACTCTACATTTCATATTTTCCAGGAGAGCCTCCATCTGTAATCTTTTTACACAGTTTGCCTTTAAACTTTCATTTCCTTCCTGTATTTTTCTAGATTTTTATTCACTTCAAAAGTGTTTTTGACCTTATTTCTGGGATGGGTTTTGCAATGTCTGTCTAAAGCCTTTGTCAGAGAAACCCCACACCTCTGTCATCTCCTTTTAACTTTCACATGAATGTTGAGGTTGTTTTTTTTTTAATCCATTATATATTAAGATGTTTGGACTCTATTCCAGGAATTCAAATATTATTTTATAAAACTCTGCATCTTATTCAAATCCTATCTGCATATTTGTGTTTTAGCAGGTAATCTGCCAAGTTGAGTTCAGGATACAAGTTCTAACTTTCCATGGGCAGGTTATCATTCCTATCTCAGGTTAATTTATAAAAGCTGTGCAACTACTAGCATTTACTTTGTGTATACACCAGGCATTCTCCCACATAGGATCTGGTTGTGGACTACCCCTCAATCCTGTTTTCAGTCTTTTCATTTTATTTAGCATCAGATCCTTGTGTCTTCAGTAGAGAGATGAGAGGAGAAGCTCAAAAGTGATCCAGATAGGTGCTGTCCCAATCTCATTCCTCTCAACAACCTTCTTAATTCTACTGCATCTCTAGTGTTCCTTCTTCTTTCTCTTGTTAAACAATGTGTACTTTCATTGCCGAGCCCATCTGTACCTGTGCACATGACTAGACTGAGTATCAAGAAGACACAGGAATAGAACCAAGGGAGCTTCAATCCATTCTCTTGGGAACGCACTTTTAGAAGAAGAAGATCAGGTCTTTCTTCCCTCTATTGTGACTGCTGTCAGTGGGACAGAATGTCCTGGGAGCTGGGTTTTGAAAATGAACAGTAGTAAAACAGAGGAAACAAAATGTGATTTCTCAATCCTCTTCTGAGCCTGAGGAGTCACCTTCCTCAGGATGCATCAATGAATATTGAACTTGTCCTGTTTCATGGGGGGTTCTCTATCAGTCCCTGGACTGCATGACGTCCTAGCCAAGGGAAAAAAGAGGCAAGGATACAGCTCACCTCTGGATAAGTGGCACCTCAGGATCCCCTCTCCCTACCTTCTCTTCYATGACTTGCATTTCAGGGTTCATATACAGGTGCTACTGGGCATTCTGGGCAGATTTTTATTTTAACTGCACAAATAGAGAAACAAGAGAATGTATACTTTCTATATCGTACTTGCAAAAAAAGAATGATGTTCATCCTATTTTCAAAATGCATAAACCATATGAATTAGCAAATACCAAATAAATTTCAAAATACAGAGACTAAAGAGCACTTCATAAATTTTCATGAGAACTATCAGGAAGAAACAATTTTTCAGTGGTTTATGTCTCCAGTATTCCAAGTTTCATGTCAGTTTTATCATGGACATAAGAACATGAACAAAAAAATGAAGATAAACAAATCTTTGTGGCTCAACAAATAAAATAGATAAATTAGAATTAATTTTCAGACAATATGGAGTTCACCATGAAACCACATGACTGTTGTTTGGAAACGAACGTCTTATTTTCATGCTTTTCCTTTTTTTTCACTCATCTCTTCATACATACTCCTCATTGGAAATGTTAATAGTGTTCATTTCAGAAATTTAATTCAGAGAGGTATCCAGATAGTCAGAAGTTTATATTGCAATCACACAATTTGCTTCACATGAAAACAGCTGTTCATCTCAGATTATGTTTCTTTAAGAATACATTTTTTTCTGCTGTTATTAAGAATTACTGTCACAATTCCTTCCTTTATCTGGGCATGATGGCTCACACTTGTACTTCCAGTGCCTCATGGGCCTGAGACAATAGGATAGCAACCCAATGTCAGCCTCAGCAAATTAGTGAGGCTATAAGTTACTTGGCAAGACTCTGATTCCAAACAAAATATAAAAAGCCTGGGGATGTGTCTCAGTGATTAAGCATGTCTCATTTCCATCCTCATATGAAGTTACTTCCTTTCAGATATGTTATACAGCCAAGCATGTTCGGGGAAACCTAAAACCCAATGCTTGACAGGCTGAATCTGGAGAATTGCTTGAGCACAGAAGATCAAAGTCAGCCTGGGAAACAGCAAGACTCCCATATCACATACAACACACAAACACACACACACATTTGTCTCCCTGACTAATATTCTGCATTGCATGTGTTAGCTAAAGATGTAGTAAGACATGTGTTTTAATTCCATCTACTTTGAAACCTTTAGTCAAGTCATCTTTTGCTGTTCTATCCAACATATCATCAATAAATGGAGGAAGTGCTAAACACATAACTACAGAGATGCTGCACAACTTCACATGTAATTGTCTGAATTTGTTTTAGGATACCAGTGAATGTGGTGGTTTTCCAGAACATTCCTGCCACAGTATATGAGACCTAGGCTCAAGATTGCATAAGACTGGAAAAAAAAAGAGGAAGATAGTTCTAGATTTACACAGACTTTTATTTATTGGGGAACTTACTGTAAGTAGCAAGTGGGAGCAAGTACCATGTCAGTCACTTCTGAATAGAAAAACTTTCATATCCAGGAAATGTGTATGAGGAGACACGTCTGGATCCACCTTTCCCCACATTACCTTGGACTCATCTGGTCACACCACAGCCCTTGTGTTTGCAAATTTGACCACAACTCCGGTCTGTGTAGGGACACACTTCCAGTGTCACCTTCATGTCAAGCACCTTGACTCACTTCTACATTACACAGGCTGGGCAACAACAGGGGACAACTCTATGCTTGGAGGCCCTTTTGCTCCCCCTTGCTATCAGTACAACTTGGTGCATTTGGTCAGAACACAGGGGGCACCTTTGCAGGCAACAGCACAATACCTATAACTGGATGCCCTTGTATGTTCATGAACCAACAGAGCCCCTACAGCCTGAGCTGGATTTCTGGTGACAATCAAGCCATAATGGAATTAGCAGTGAACCAACAATAGCACATGAGACCTCTTTTGCAGCCCTGCCTTCACATTCTCTGCTGTGCTCATGCACTGTAGGGTTTAACCAGGACCTGAATTTCAAGACCTGGGTCAACTCAAAGACTTGACACCATCATTCTCTCTTCTCCTGAACTTTAACTGTTGTGAAGTAGGGAAGCTTATACTATTCTGTAGGGGAAAAAACCTACAGAGACTGATACAAGAACAACAGCAGCAGAAACAAAAAGTTCTTATTAATTGAAAAGACACATCCCAGGTCTAAGTGGCACAGTCATGGGAGCCTTGTCCTTCCTCTGAGGAGATCTGAAAAATGTTTACAGCTACCTAAATATTTTGTGAAGGGGGCCTAGACTTCCCCAGGAGAGACTAAAAGGATTTGCAGAAATCCTGTACCATAAACTAGAATGTCATCACGTAATTCTCACAAATTTTAAGCCAGTTTTGTTTTGCAAAAAAGTAGCTTCAGAACATCATGAAAAAATCTTTTTTTTTAAATGTGCACCATTACTTAGAATAAATTTATCACTAAAATGTCTTTGATGCAACATTGTCATGCACAGAGTACTCATGATTATATGTTTAAAGTTTGGTAAACATTTTGTGGTGAAATACAAAGGAAGTGTGTGATGAAGCAAAATAAGTGTAATAGAAATGATAATAATGATGATGATGATGAGGAGGAGGAGGAGGAAGAGAGGAGGATGAGGATCAGGAGAAGGAAGTAGAGAAGGAGTAGCAGAACAGGGATGTTGGTGGTGGCATGAGCACACAGATGAGCTGTGGGTACAAACACACCCAGTGTACAAACACACCCATTGCTCA